CGGGTCGGCCACCGACACAATGGGAAGAGGCATTGTTTTCGAATTCGGTAAAAAAAAAACCCTCAAAATTTCAAGAGCGTGTTAAGACGAGAGACTGTGGTCCTTAATAATGACGTCACAAAGCGGTCCTAAATGAGCCACGAGCGGCTCCGGAGCCGCACGTTGCCGACCCCTGCACGACTAACAACATCGACTGGAGTGAAAGCATGCGCACGACGAGCAGGAGCAACCTTTCACAATCGCAAAAGGGAACTGTGACCGTGTGTGTCGACCTGAGCATAAACGGCCGCTCGCAGCGACAGACGTGACTGAGCATGCTAAAATTAGAAAGTTTTGCCCGTTCAAATGTTCCCCTCCAGTGCCCAATTAGTGAGGCTAAGATCCTTGCAGTGATAAATTCCGTTTAGCCGGCCGTTTTCAAGGTGGTTGGCCCTTTGTTTCAAAGCTCCCCGTTGGGATGAGCGACACTTTCTCAACCTGACGAGGTGTTGGTCTGAGAGGCAAATTTGGCCACACGTGCAGTCAGTTCTTCGGAGCTGGTGGTCTGGATAAGGCCAATAACTTTTTGGGCACGCATTGCGCACCACCTTTGTGTGTCGTTGAAGCCCTCGTGTGGCCGGCGGGGCCGTATGAAATGAAGTTGTGGGACTCGTCTGGCCCAATGGACCACAAGGACCCTCCCTCTCTGGCCTGCACGTAATGAGGAATATGCAGCCAGATTGCCTGTACGCTTCCCTGCGCGCGCACACGCATGGTCTAACTGGACTCTTCAAGAGCTGGCCGTCGTGTGCCAACAAATGTTGCTACTGTGTTTGCGGTGCGAGCGAAGCACATGACGTCTTTGTTAACGAGCACTGCTCAGCGTTGACACCAATTATGTAATAAACACAAGACTCAATACGGCAGTGACATTTGTTGACGGGTTAATTTCATCTCTTCAATTAAACGTAAACATGCTGAGTGGTCCACACCATAGACATGTGGAATTCTTCACCACTGGTTCACTGTCGCCCAATTGTGATTTGAGCAGATAAACTTTTGACTTTTTGTTCATTCCGACAGGTCTATTGGATGACTGAAACACAGGAAATCACTTCTACTATAGTTAACAAACGTTTCTGGTCCTGCTTTGTAAATTAAGTTTTGTCTATATGGCCGTATACATCTTTTTTAAACAAAATAAAAATGAGAGGCAGACGAACATGAGCATAAAACTGTTCGTACAAGATTTGTAAATGTGTAATGATGCTACCGGGTCTGTCATTACGTCTATTTAAAAGTGCAGCGTCTATGTTCAGCGCAGTTATAAGTGGTCCTGTCATGCGACCACACCAGCCAGTGATCTCATTCCATTTAAAAATAATGGAAGCCATGCATGACTAAACCAGGTTCTCTCAAGTGTGGCAAGTTGATAGTCTCAGTATGGTCTCCAATGATGCCGTCAACAACAAAAATCGCAAAATATTTGACTTTTACGTCTCGCCACGGTGGCTATGAGATGTTAACTACCTCGCCTGGTATACAGGAGGTCGTGGGTTCGATCCCGACCCTGACGACTGTTTATTTGGAGTTTGCGTGTCTCTCTCTCCCCGCGGTCGTGTGGCTTTTTATCCGGGTCCTCCACCCTTTTCCCTCCACATTTAGCAACACGCGTTTAGAGTATTTGTCTGCTATTAATTTCCGCGTAATCGCCCACATCGTTCAGCTCAGTGGGCCTTACCTGTTACAATAAAAACATTTGTTTAGTTTATAGTTTAACTAACCCACCTCCGAGGGTGAAATTAAATATAATTGGATGGCTGACAATTTCGCAAACCGCTCCTTTTCTGGCATTACAGGAGTACTGTTTCGTGCCGGGTAATAGAGGCAGGCATATTGAGGCGACTCCAGAAGTAGTTGTGAGGTGTCAATTTCCATGGGCGATTTCTGACACAACGCAATACTCTGCTGACTCGGAGAGTTCCGCAAGGATGTTTTCGGATCTCCAATACCAACGGAAATCGGTACTAAATACAGCAGTGATTAAATCCGTGTATACATAACTGAAAGCGTGCACAACACATGCCAATTCGTAATCATTTTTGTCGAACAACAACAATAACATAGTAACTATATCATCCTGCAGTAAATAGAATTTATCTAATCAGTAAAGTCCCACTGAGTCTCCAGACTTGTTTTCAGGATGAATACGAGTCAGTTCCTTAAGGTCAGTTCCTTATATGAGCGCGGGTTGAATTAACGCGTGAAGACAGCACAATGGCTGCAGGGGATACCACTCAAACGTAAAGCTTACTTGCTATACTGCTCTACAATATGAAAAAGGTGCAGTCCTGTAATTTTATGCTCATGGCAGTGCTGACAGAATGGACTCACGAGAGAGAGAGCTCTTCAGAGCCCCTCCAGAGGGTCGGTATCCGACTGCTTCACACTGGCTAGCAGATGGCTTGAAAGAGGGTGGCATAACCACACTTAACCTCACCACAACGTGACCACCTGCCAATAGACTGTTGCAAACCCATTTACATTGCATGCGTATTGAACTTCTTTCGCACCGTACGTGGCCGACCGTGCTGATCGGAGGTGCGCGAAATATTGCTGGGCGGACAGGGGCGGGGTGGAATTTGAGAAATTTGTCAAACCGGTGACCTCTGGATTGCAAGTCCAGTTGGCTGCTGGCCATTACACCACAGCCAAAAATAATGCAACCCATATAAATGTAGGTTTTGCTATAAGTATTAGTAATGTTTTGCATGTTTACGATCTAGGTGGGTCGGTATCAGGCTCGGAGCTGGGCGGCCAGTGTACTAACTGACGAGCGGTACAGCAGGGCAGCACCTCCATAATATTCAAATATCAGCAAAAGTCTTTTATTGTTTTATATTTTATAAAAAAAAATATTATTTTATTGTTTCCCTTCTACGTGACTTTACCGAAAGAACCAAGAATATGAATCCCTGTAGTCACGAAAGCTTTAAATCAAAATTTAGTCTCTTCGACATTACGAGTCTGTTCCTCAAACTGTAACGTGACCTAGTGGCGAGATGTTAACTACCTCGCCTGGTATACAGGAGGTCGTGGGTTCGATCCAAACCCTGATGCCTGTATATTTTGAGTTTCCATGTTCTCCCGGTGGTCGTGTGGATTTTTCTTCAGGTCCTCAGGTTTTTCTCTTTACTTTTATAATTAACACGACGCGTTTAGAGTATTTGGCTGCGATGAATTTCCTTGTGATAAGCCACTTCGTTGAGCTATCATTTGTGGCCAGGTCCCTTCTGAAAAAGAGCTATACAGCTCAGTGAGCCTGACCTGGTAACATTTAAAATAGTATAGTACAGTTTTAGTAAGGAAATACGATCAACGCAAGCTGTGTGTCCCAAGTCGCCGGATGAGCCACCGCCACGGTTGTTTTGTAGGCAGCACCAAACACGAGCAGTGATCTCATGGCTGGCGTTGCGCAACCACTCGTCATGGGGCCTCTGAGCGGGGCGACTTTAGTCACGGCTCTTCGCAGGCCGGAACGAACGTTCTAGAGAGCGGGCGGCAGAGGCGCGACCGCACGCGTGGAAAAAACAGAAGCCAACACGTCCTCGCGCGCAGTTGAAACATCGGGGCAGGCGCTTAATCTTCCATCGGTGGCCCACGTCCAGAGATGGGGTTAAAGAGACCACCGCAAGTGATTGTGCTTCTTATAATAGGGTTTTTCCCCTTTTTTCTGGCAACAAGACTGAAACCTTTTTACAAGGATTCATGTCTGCATTAATCACAATACCTGCAGTCAAAATGCAAACAAAAAACATACTATGATAATATATGCATTGTCCTTGAAATTGATTGGTCCACACCAAGGGACGGCTTTCTTTTGAGCCTCGGGCCCAATTGGTGCTCGACCAGATGACGCCAAAAGGCGTACAGCTCAAAGACAATGCACTATCAAAGTAATGAGGGCTCGGGGTGAGCATCTACATCATTATACCTCCTTTGCCAGTACCAAAATATAATAATAGGGTTTTTCCCCTTTTGATGTAGATGCTCACCCCGAGCCCTCATTACTTTGATAGTGCATTCTTAAATCCTCCCTGCCCCTCCACTTCTCTCCACCCGCACCTCCGATGGGCACGGTTGGCCATGTACGGTAGTGCAATAGAAACGTACATACATCCACTCGGCGGTATAAATGTGTAGATGGCGTGCGGTGGGGTAAGGTCTGGACACTGCAACCTCTCGCGAAACGTGTGGCCCGCAAGCGTGGAAGGGGGGGTGGTAAAGTATCATCTCGAAGGGGCTGTCTAGAACTCCCTCTAGTGGAGGCCCAGCAGTGGCATTAGCGAGCGGTTGCAGAGACTGCGCCTTTATCATTTCACAAGTAAAACTTGCTCACTAATCTGCCGTGTGTGTAAATCCTGGCTGTGGGTCTCTTCAGCATGCGATCCCTCCAGCCACTGATAGAAGTATTATGGAGAGACTGTCTCCCGTCATGGGAATGTGGAATTGCCTCCACTGGCTCTGTACCGCGAAGAACGACGGCAACCATTCTGTACATGTTTTAAACGGGGCGGCACCTTTTCATGAATTAAAGGTAAAAGTGCGGCCCAGAAATTACTTGCTCATGCTGGAGGAAGGTCCTCCACTATAGGGAGTTCTAGAGAGCCACTCGTGGGTATTTGGCCTACTCTTCCATCACCGACCAGACTCCTTGGAAGAGGTGGGGGTACCCACACTCGAGCCCACCACACGCGGCCTGCCCGAACGACTTATTTGCGGCCTACCCACGTATATTGCTGGGTGGCGACTTAAGAAATTGTCCCGTCGTTTCAACAGCCGCGCGCGGAGAACGAACCAGCGACCGCCGGATTGCGAACCCTAACCGCCCACAGGGCAGCGCCGCTGAACATCGTAATACCGCGCCGTGTACATCGTACGGCGCGCAAATGCCGCTACGTCTCGGGGATAGGCGTTGACGAACACGCGCGCGTCTCCGCTTCTGCCTCGCTCCCCTCTAGGCCTCAAGGGAGGAGGTGCGGGCAACGCGAGGCACCCCGGCAACGGCCCCACCATGAACGAGAATGGCGGCAGCTTCACGTACTCCTTCCACGGCGACCCGCACGCCACCTTCCGCGCCTTCTTCGGCGGCGCCGACCCCTTCGAGATGTTCTTCGGCTCGGGTCGCGGCGGCGGCGGACCCGGCGGCCTGGGCGGCCTGGGCATGAACGGCGGCGGCGGCGGCGAGGCGATGGAGATCGACTCGGACGACCCGTTCGCCGCGTTCGGCCTGGGCGGCGGCGGCGGCGGCGGCGGCGGCGGTCCCTCGCACCACAGGCGGCGCACGCAGGACCCCCCCGTGGTGCACGAACTGCAGGTGTCGCTGGAGGACATCTACCGCGGCTGCACCAAGCGCATGCGCATCTCGCGGCGCAGGCTCAACCCCGACGGGCGGTCGACGCGCACCGAGGAGAAGATCCTGACGCTGGAGATCAAGAAGGGCTGGAAGGAGGGCACCAAGATCACGTTCCCGCGCGAGGGCGACGAGGGCGGGCGCAACATCCCGGCCGACGTCGTCTTCGTGGTGAAGGACAAGGCGCACCCGCTGTTCCGGCGAGACGGCTCCGACATCGTCTACACGGCGAGCGTCTCGCTCCGAGAGGTGGGCCGCGCGCTTTTGTCGGAAAGTTGCCGTTGCGTTTCGCCGAGGTGGCCGTTGGGGGTTTTGTTTGGAGCCGCGCTGCGCTACGAACCCGGCCACCCGAGTTCGATTCCCGCTCACGGCCGACACCAATGACGATGATCTAAACCGGTCCTGGTGTAAACATCGCTATTCGGGAGACAAAGGCGGCCTTCATAAGTGCTCGCTAGCAGCACTTGCCCCAACAGTCTTTTAAGGCTATAATAGGTGGTCGCCAACACCCCTCGCCCTAACGTTCTGTGTGAAGCAGTGTTCTTGATTGCTGGCCACTGGCGGCCCCTGGTGGCCTTTAGTGCGGCCCCTGGCAATGCACAAAGAGTAACAACACCCCTCTCCCCCCCCCATCATCGTCATCATTGTGCTGCTGTCAAACCCCAATGGTTTTAAACGCGCGGCGGCCCTCACACACCGATGACGTCTTATCGGCGAAAGTGGCCGCCCTCTGAAAACGAGTGAATAACTCGGCTGCAAGGAAGGCTGTCGGGGAGGGAATCGTCATCTTAATCTCCGTGCGTGTGGTGCGCGTCGATGGGCAGGCGCTGTGCGGCTGCTCGGTGAAGGTGCCCACGCTGGACGGGCGCAAGCTGTCGCTCTCCATGACGGAGGTGGTGCGCCCGGGCCTGACGCGGCGCGTGGCGGGCGAGGGGCTGCCCTTCCCGCGCGCTCCCTCGCGCCGCGGCGACCTCGTCGTCGACTTCTCCGTGCGCTTCCCCGACAGGATCCCGCCGGCCTCGCGCGACGTCCTGCGCCAGCACCTCCCCGCCTGCTGAGAACCCTCGCGACGACTGCCTCCAGAGATCGGGGTGCGGCCCCAGGGTAGAATAAAAAATAAAATATCTTCAAATTTGATAAATTTACTCCCATTGGCTAGACTTGCAGAAGGGTACTGGAACGGTTGAGGGGAGATGGTGACGTAAGGCACTTTTGAGTTGCTTGAGATAGTCAAGCGTCCTGTAAATGCAAATCCTTATCCCGAACAAAGGCGCAGGCATGTGCACACAAGGACACGCACGCGTAGATCGCCGGTGTAAACAGTGTGCGTGTGCATGCGCGTGTGCATGCACGTGTTCACCAACGCATTGGGGAAAGTTGGGCTGACTTCTTGTATCACGCTGCCTATGACGTTGAAGATGAGATGATATTGAAAAGGTTGTATTTTTTTTTACTCGGGCGATTCTCTGAGACCCTTAAGTGAACAACAGTGATTCTAGGCCATTGTATTAGACCCAAAGTTACTTGGAACTGGTATAATTTATTAAATAAAAAATCGGTATATATTTTGTAATTATATTATGGCCTCGAGGCCATTAACAAACTTGTCAAATTGCTTACGTTAAAGAAACCACCATAGGGTAAATATGACCTTACAAAAATTTGATGACTTTTATAAAGTAATTTCAAGTCTGAGCCATTGTCTCTCCAAAAGCAAAGGTGTGTGGCTGTAGCCCAACAGGACATGGCTAATGGTAGCATTACTCGTGCAGTTATGAGTTAACTCGTAGCCAGCTGTAGATGTTCAGAATGATTGCGTGTGTGAAATTACAACTAAGTGTCACGGGTTCACCCACAGAGGACGCATAACGAAAACGCAACGCGTCCGTCAATAACGCTGTGGCCTTTAAAAGGGGTAGGAGTGTATAATCGGTGACATTCCCGCTAAATGGTTCTTGTTCACAGCATCTCTCTCCGCTGCGTTCTTGACGAATGTGCGCGAGTGTTTTTTTTGTGGTGCCCTTGCACCAGCTCTGAACGCAGCGCGAGCAACGCCTGCGGTGTGATGCTTCCAGTGGCTCTCACTTTAGCGGTCCATGCCCTGCTGATGAGGCTCAATGAAGCCGATACCAGTCCAGGGTTTTGACTCCCATTTGAAGCCCACACGTTTCTGACTAGATATTGGTCTGGGGAACACCTCAGTGGCCCGTCAACTCCACTTAATTTACGATGACGTTTTTTTGTGTCGGATCGTGTTAGTGTGAACGTGCCGTACGCCCAATTCCACCCGACACAGCCAATCAGTAGAGGTTGGCACGTGAACAGGATGTGCCAATTATAGTTACTACTAGGGCGCCTCGGTGAAGAGATGTTAACTGCCTCGCGAGGTATACAGGAGGTCTCGGGTTCGATCCCGACCCTGACGCCTGCTGTATATTTGGAGTTTGCGTGTCTCTCTCCCTGTGGTTGCGTAGATTTTTCTCTGGCCCCTCTGGTTTTTTCCTCCACATTTAGAAATAACATCAGGCGTTTAGAATATTTGACTGCTATACATTTCCACATAATGACCCACTGCATTGAGCTATCATTTGTGGCCAGGTCGCTTCTAAAAAAGAGCTACATAGCTCTGTGGGCCTTATCCTGGTACAATAAAAAGTTTAGTTTTAATTCAGCACACTGGTGTGTTGGAGAGCAAACCCACAGCATTTACAATTTGAGTTTACGACGTTTCGCCGGTGATCACGACCAGCATTCCGAGAAACGATGGTTGGTGTACGACACATTTACATAGTCTAAGCGATAAATAAGATCGAAAGCAAAAGCCTTCCGTGATGAATCCACTTGATTCGATATCGGCAGTGAAAAAAAACCTGTTCTTCAACTATGTCTTCGGAGGAAATGTCTGGATACCAAGTACTACTACGACCAAGGCATTGGCTCTTGAGTGATACCCAGTGGGAGTGATATTTATATATGCAATATCCACAGGTGATATTGTATTGGTACTACCTGTACTGCCCAGCAATAATGTATCACACAAGGCAACTGCTGGGAAGCAAGTGATTGTGAGCACTTAGGGTTCTTGTTCTGCTCCACAGCTTTCAGTGGGGGGGGGGTAGGGAAGGGGAGGTTGAATCGCAGAATGTTAGGGCTGCGGCTTCAGCTTGAGTGAAGCTGCTATGTACATAGCCACATATAGAGGACATGTAGGTGGGTGTTTATATAGCAGCTTGAGTGAAGCTGCTATGTTACATATCCACCTACAGAGGGCATGTAGCTGGGTGTATACATAGCAGCTTGAGTGAAGCTGCTATGTATACAGCCACCTACAGAGGGGGCATGTAGGCGTCTCTCCCTTTGTGTCCTGCGTGCCTAAAGTTCATAATCGAGTGTGATAAGGTTTGACCTGTTTTTTTTAAGACCCCTGTAAGTCTGCGTGTGTGTTAGGCGTAAATGGGGGTTAGCGTGCTGTTTGCTGATCCACGTGTTTTAAATCCTGGAAATGTGCACAAGTGGAATGGGTGTTGAACTCGTCCCGGCGAGGTGTGTGTGATCATCGGCGCGGGGAAGACAAAGGCGGCCCTGGGTGCGTTCAGCCCTGTGCCGCACCGTTCCCTCGTGCACCGTGCCAGCCTTCACATGCTCCCGCGGTAGTCCCTACGGATAAACAGGGGTCTTTGTACATAAAGCGTAACTTTTCCTGTTTTAATTTTGATGTTGGAAGAGCCGTTGGTTCAGGTTGCCAGTGAGTGTTGTACGTGTGAGTTAGTCCCGAGCACACTTGCCCTGTTAAAGAGACTCCACGCTGGCCAAACCGCTGCAAGGCAGTAAGTGACCTAAAGATGATGACCAAATGAATGAAAACGACACACGAGTTGTTTTTGGGATTATTATCATAATTGTTTTTGGCCCTCATTGAGCAAAACCAATCGGCAGAAGCAAAAAAAGATATAATATTCATAGAAACGTGATGTGGTCTCTCCATCGGGTTGTACCGCGTGTTGTTTAGCGAAGGTGTCTCGGCGTTTCGCTCTCGAATGAATTTCAGCTCGCAGAAGTAGCTCCCCGTCAGCAAGAGCAGCGAAACGTGTCGGAGGCATTGCGCCGCTGAACGGCACGCGGCGCGATCCCGAAATCACCTTGGTGACAGAGCTGTGTGGCAAAAACCGTGAAAAGGTTTCGACGCACTTGTAAGAAACCGGTTCAGAAAAACGTGGCACACAGCTGGGCCTGTAGCAATGGGGGGTCGTGAGAGCTTTGTATGACCGATCGCATACCTGTCAACCCCTTATCGTTGCCTACCTTATTCCAGACCAATTCAGACCTTATTGGTCACACCCGTGCCCTTATAAACCTCAGCGTTCATCCTACAAAGTCCCATCACAACGGAGAAACACAAACAAATAGACTATATTTTTTTGCCCGTATTGAAACGGCTGTACGCCGTATGAACCTGAACTCAATTCCCTTTACAAGAATACGGGGTAAACCGTATGGGTTGACAGGTATGCGATTGTATGGATGACCGGTGGCGTGGGTAGTGGTGGAGTACACGTTAATTGCTATTTATTGTGCACAGTTATGAGAAGGAGGAAATGTATTTATTAACTTTGGTGGTCACTTAAGTTAGCATTGTCGGATACTACTAACTAATTGTATAGAAGTTATGAATTCAAAAGCAGAGATTGAGACATGAAGGTGTTTTTAATTTGATTTGTGCCAAAATATGCCAAGCACACGTCTTGTTTTCGTTGTCGATGTCAATTTGTATTTTCATGTTTTTTTTATGCACTTTAATGCACATGTTTTGGATGTTTATGGAAGCCTGGCAAAAGTACTGTACACTACCCGAAGCACTACAGTGTTAATATTCATGATGCGTCTGCTATCTGATGACTCGAGTGAAAATGAATTGTAACAGACAAAATAATTTTTCATAAACAATATTTCGGAGCGGTAATTCAGTAAATAAACTATATATAAAAAGGTGTACGATGTATTTTGGATTTTGCTAATTGTTGACCAGGGCATCCATTTCATTTATTTTTTACCCTGTTTTATGAAGTATTTGATTTGTTGAGTGCACGAAAAGCAGAGACTGGTTTCATTCTAAAATGAGTGCAGTGCTGAGACCTAACGCGGTGTGAAATATTACTCGGCACACTGTTGTTGGTTTGATCCTTTCCCGTCATCCTGAGACGCCTGCAAGTTGCAGGGCAGGTGTCCCCATTTACCGCCGAATCTCACAACGCGTAAGCGGCTCGGCGTTTTATTTTGTTTAGAGAGTCGTAGCGCCGTCATTTTTAAAGACATTGTTACTCACCGCGGAGAACTGTAGCGACACGACCGCACTCTATGATAGCTGGCGCCAAACTCGGCCACGCCCTCCCGCGTGGCCTTGTTGGGAGCCTCGGTACCGACCAAGTAAAAATAACTTTGCTTCTGAGAGAGAAGCTCCCACCATACGTAGCGAAACGTCGGACATCGCCCTGAATGTAACAACGTAGCACAGGCTCAAAACACATTGCAGAAATAAACGGCACAAGCGTGAAAACGTTCGCCATAGTTCTACATATACGTACGTCATCGGAACGGAATCGGGAGAAAAGTTGATGACGAACAACGTACGTCATAGGAACGGGAAAGGGTTAAAACGTACTTATCGTGTGTGGTCGCAATGTAAGATTATGCACGTACAGCTATTCTGCTATTTGAGTTCCAAGTTGTCTTTGTTTAACCAGGTGAGAACTGGGTCACCAAAGTTGATGAGCAATAAAATAACGTACGGCAATGAAGCAAAGAGATAATCGGGAGGAAAAGACCTAAGAGCAGGGTCACAGGAGGAGTCTTATGATTCTGCACTAACTTAATATGGAAGAGAATGCATTTGCCGACGTGAAAGGTGGCTCGTAAAAGTAACTTCTTAAACCGTTCATTTGTACAGTTAATGTACGGAAGAAGCATTCGGCAGTTCGAGGGTGGTTATTGCACTAACAAGTAAACAGACTGGTAGATTTCAAGCGCAGTTGCAGTCGTAGAGCGTTGAAATACCTCCACGTTGTAGCGTCACAGGAGTCTGACGCGTGTGGCGGTGTTGTGGATGAAATGCGATATTTGAAAATGACACTACTAAATTTGATATCGGTTCATTAATCTCCGCCGCAGCACCGCAAACTCCACTGTGGAATGCAACATATCTCATTTGACTCGACTGGTTAAATACAAGTACGCCAATAGGGGCGGACGCTTCCCATTGTGTGCGGAAGAAGGCTCGGTTGGCTCTAAACCGGTGCACGTGGGCCTCGTGATGCAATGGCTTGTGACGTCACAGAGGGGAGCTCTATGACGTGTCAAAGGGTGGCAGCACGAGCTTACTCGTCGGCAACTGCACAATTTAAAACGCTGCGCTTTTTTTTTGAACGTGCATTCAACGTCCCAATGTGCGTGTGTTTTAAAAATCAGCCGGTGGTTTTGAACATTCGCAAGCAGACAAAAGAAAACAAAAATATATAGTGTCGATTTGGAAAATTCTTCGGTAAATCGTGATTAAAAGCGAAGCTTTCCCCGTCGAATGCTTCCCACGCAAGTGTGTTAGGAACGAATGTGGTTCAGGCGTTTGTACTCGCGCACTAACTATTTTTAAAAAAAAGTTTATGGAAATAAGATGGATGCAAGCCGGTGGAGATGGTAAATCGTTAATTTTAATGTTACTTGTTTACCAGTTTCCCCATGTCTCGCCGGGTCACGATGATTTGCACCCATCTGTTGATTGCGTTGGTGCGGTTGGGGAATTGAGTGTGAGAAGTCTCCACATTCAGCATTGTCATGCGTGGTTGTACACAGCTCTCCCCGATGCGTTTTTCTAGGGAGTTGCGCTCCGGGTTTCTCCGGCACGGTGTCCCCAACGTTTCGCGACTGCATATGCTGGGAGCGTTTTTGGGAAGTTTCTCCCAGATGCTAGCCAGCGCGTGGAGCGAAACGTCGGACGTCGTCCCGAATGTAAGCAACGCAGCACAGGCCCGAAACACATTGCAGAAATAAACCGCAGAGGCGTGAAAACGTTTGCTGTATTTACACATGTAGTAGTGTTACTTTGTAAATAGAATCACAATTCAATGCCATGCTGCTGTCGCAAAGAAGTACCTTTTAAATCGAAGGTTAACACACATTAAAAGATAAATAAAGGGTTTTTTTTGGGTTAGGCCGCGCAGGTATAAATGTTGTGTCGTAACCCTCCACCACCCGACACAGCCAGTAAGGGATTTGTCACGTAAATAAAACGCGCCAATGAGTGACTACTTCAGCCCACCGGTGTGTTGGAGGGAGTAAACCCACAACATTTACCATTTGAGTTCCGTGACGTTTCGCTGTCGATTGCATCCAGCAGCGTCATCGGGCGATTCGCCACAAAACGTGAAGCCATCCCCACCTGCTTCCGGTGTGAAATAGCAGGACGCCGCCGCCGCACACTGTGACCCTAACAGCCG